GATTTTCAGTGTTATGGGTTGTACACTACCCTAATTGCTTTTTCTTATTTATTCAGGTTCATAATTTGTATAGCTGCATTAAAGTCGCAGAAGATTTTGTATCGCCAGAACATGTGAAACACTGCTTCCGTCTGACCCAAGAATTCAGGCACCTATCTAATACTCACACAAACCATGAGGATAAGCTGCAGGTAAATCTTCTGGTAAAATCTCTGATGAATATCATATTTGTAAGAAGGGAGGAATACCATTTGCAAAAAATAAATTGTACTACTTAAAGATTTTATAGAAAAAGGTATTTTGTGGCCATATTAACTAAGTGACTTCTAAGACATAGTTATATCAGTTTCAGGTTTATTTCAGACCAGTTTATACAATATGTTGACTTCTCATAATAGTCTCTCTGATTAAAAGATAAAGGTTTTACACTTGCACAGAGCTTATTGGAGACTTAAAAAATGTAATATTTTTGGATCTTCACATGTCCTATATTTATTTACGTAAGTTATAGAGAAGAAACTCCTATCCATCGTTAGTTCCCTTAAGATAGACACAGTGGTAAACTATTTGAAGGTTTGATGTTTGCAAGCTGAATGGAGTGGCAAAATCTTACTCAGAAATGGCAGGGGTTAAAGGTTTAAGTTGTGGTTTTTTAATTTCCTAATAAAGAATGAGTATAGGAATTTTTGAATTACATTTTTTTAAAACTACATTAGTATTGATGTTTTTGAACATCACAATTTCCACGTGTATATATATGCGTGTGTGTGGAAATTAAAGTAATTCAACTTGTTTAGCATGCCTTTTACAAAGATCTTAGCATATGCAGAATATTATTAACCAATTGCATATGAACGTTAATGAGGAAATCAGCTAATCATTTCTACATAAGATTTCTCCTGGTAGCTCCATCACTTTAGTTAATGCTCTTTCCTTATATGTGTTCAAACTTTATAGGCAATTGCAATATAAATCCTGGTAATTAGTAATTTGGGGCAGATGGAAACATTTATGCTCTTATTCTTCGTTACACTCATTCATTACATTCTCTTTGCAGGTGAAGAACATTATCTACCATGCAGTCAAAGATGCTGTTGGCACACTGAAAGCTCATGAATCCAAACTGGCTAGATCTTAGGAATGGATGGTTCCGGAACCCCTCCCCCCCTCCCCCGGAGTTGTTTTGTTTTGGTTTTTTGCTCACAGTATAGGGGATGCACGTGGCTGCCTCTGAAGGACTCTGAAACCTCTCACTAAAAGATGCCATGGCATTCATTACACTCTCCAGCCACTGCCTATATGCTGCCTCAATCTTGAATATCTAATAGATGGTCACAATAATATACAGAATTCCTGAAGAATGAAGGGTGCCGAGTCCCTTTCTGGTGGCCTTTTGCAAATTGAAATTGTATGGAAACCAGGTTGTGTTCCTGCATATGATGAATAGAAAAATGTGTGACACTTTTTCATACCTAATTAGTCTTTCCAGTAAGTTAGAAAGGATGATGCAAGGTTGGACATTTTATTGAAAACCTAAATAGCTAGCTCTGAATGAGTATACACGCCAGCATCCTGGCTACAAGAACGTGAACGTAAGATCTATCTCTGACATAGCTAAGGAAAAAGGAAATTGTTCTTCAGGCTCCCTTTAAGAGTTCTTTATACACTGTAGAAATACAGAAACACAGAGAGAAACCACTGATTTTCCCAGAGGGCTCCAGGATTTTTTAAAAAAATGTGTATTTAGTGAAAAACTAGGTTTGTAGTGAAACAGTATTTCATGAAAGTAGATATTTTTAGAATTTGAAATACCACAACAGTTCCTGGACTACAAGGAAAGGCACATTATGTTTAGTCTTCCTTTCAATAAAACTTTTCCAGAAATAATTCCCAATAGCACAATTGGCCTGAAGAGAGCTAAAAATAAGTTTACTTCCAATATAAAGATATAAAGGGGGGAAAAGAACTTTTATGTTTTGGAGGTGTTGTACATCTCTCCCTAAACTGGTAAATATCAGTTGTCAGTTTTAGATTGGGATTAATGCTTCCCAGAAATAATTTTCAATATCAGCTTTGTCCAGAAATATTTTCAGTAAAATGTTCCTGCTTGATAGAGTTGTATTCAGAATTGTCACCATTGAACTGATGGATTCCATTGTTTTACTGTTCATTGGGACTGTATCTACCTTCTATCCAGCTGTACTGTAGTGCCACCTGCAGGCCTGTTAATATGTTCACGGTTATTTCATTTTTTAAAAAATAAAAGTCATTTACTGTAGACTTGTTTTAGACCTATGTTGTACCTATTCTGGAAGCTCATGGGGAGATACAGAAGTAGGAAAAGCAAGCATGTCTATCTCCCCCCCCCACCTCCAAGCTTTTGAACAGATTTCTTCTTCCTCTTTTTATGCCCTTTCCATCCCCCAAATCCCTGTGAGCTACATACATGCATGCTTTTGAGAAAGGCAACTCTGAAGTTTGGTCCATTGTTTTCTTCCACATCACTCATAATCAGAAATCCTTTTTAGGGAGCAGACAAACCTGCAACTTAATTTGTATTTCTGTGAACATCTTCCACTGTACCACATCATACTTGACTCAAAACACTATCAAAATCTTAATAAATGGGTAAGAGCCATTCACAGAGCCCAGGAAAAAACAAGGATGCAAAAAAGTTAACGTTTTGGCATCTTTTATAGCACTGTTTCTCAATTCATATTTGTACTTTCTCTGCATCATTTATTTGAAGTGCAAATTTGGTTTAAAGTCTCCCTAAAGCAGTGTTTCTCAACCTTGACAATTTTAAGGCATGTGGACTTCAATTCCCAGAATTCCACAGCCAGCAATGCTGGCTGTGGAATTCTGGGAGTTGAAGTCCACATGCCTTAAAATTGTCAAGGTTGAGAAACACTGCCCTAAAGTATTCTGCATCTAATTGTAGCTAGAATTCTTTCAAATTTATGAAACTGGTAACTTTCATGATATCTATTCTTGTCTTATGTCCCAGGCTTGAAGGCTGATACAGCCATATCCAGATCTCAGTGCTTTTCTTTCTTTCCTTGTTTCCCTTCTACAAAACTATTCTAATTTATCTGAATTTTCCTTAAATTGTGATTTCCAGAATTGTACAGTTTTGAGATGGTGATCTAAATAATACAGAATAGAATGCCTACTTTCTTTTTCCAAAAATAAAATTTAATACAAATTTAAAAAGTACAGAAAAAAATAGAAAAAGAAATATATAAAAAAAATTACTTCCCCCTTCATCACAAGATAACCAATTTAAATAAACGAACTTTGTATTTGTTTTTAGCAATCTTAATCTCCTTTCAAATAGTGTCCTAGAACTTGATTACTTTTCTTTTGTCCCTACTCACAAATTTCAGAGCTTTAACAAGCCTCTTTTGTTATCTGAAATATCCAAAAATTATCTAGATCACTCAATTTGTTATTTGTATATCCCTTTTAATTATTAGGACATCAGTCATCTGCTTGAGCAGGGAGTTGGGCTAGAAGACCTTAAAGAGTCTTTCCAGCTCTATTCTGATTCCTTTTGTAGGTCCAGTGTACTATAATTTTCCATATTATTCTTGTAGCCTGTCATTTTTAAATCTGCATTCAGATCAGTCTTAATCTTCCATAATATCTTTTAAATACAGTTCATCTACAGAAGAGTGAACTCTTAAAATTAATTTCTGGCTCCAAAATCAATGCTTTCAAAACTGCTGCTGGCGTTGTCTCTCCTGTTTAAAGTTTGATTATGGTTCTGTTTCTACCCCTTACAACAGAAGTGCATGAAACCAACACTGGAAAAATTATATTAAGGTAACTGCAAGGGGAATCTGGCCATGTTTCCCTTTTGGCTTGACTTTTTTTTTTTAAGTTTGCCTTTTAATTTATCACTTCTAGATTAAAAAAAACTTGTCCATTTATTGAACATCACAAGAGAGGGACAGCCTTCTCTCAAGGATTAATTGCTTTTCCTGCATGTTGCATTAGTTCCTAGTCCCTCCTATTATTCTCTTCCTATGATTCTCTTAATCTCACTGGATGTAATCTTTCTAGTCATTTTTGCTAGCACAATTTCAGATGTGGCAAGAGAATCATACTGTGTATTGAGAGTGTGAACAGCAAAATATGCTATGAGATGGTCCTCAGCTCTTTATGAATGTTGTATTCCAACCATAAGAAGAGTAGAGACCCATGCTCCAGTAATTGGGGGGGGGGAGAGAATAGCTAGGCCAAATGTTATTTTTCTGATTACTGGCTTGTCAACAAAAATAGTTTCAAATATTGCAAGTTTGACAGCACCAGCTTACTATACAGTACTTCCCTACTATATAGACTACTCTTCGTGCAAATGTGTGCACGCTGCCGCGTTTCTTTCTCTTAACTTAAGGGCAGAGTATCATTTTCTCTCCTTCCCCTGCGTTTGAGTGCTTTTTATCCTATCACGCACGATGAAAACCCTCGTGAAAAGGCGTGCTAATCCCGCTGGGGATTAAAGGGGCTTTATCCTATGCCGAATGTTGCCCTGGGGTAACCCTTCAGAGTAGCCACGCCAGGTCTTGTAAGGCTGAAGGAGGGCTTAACGTGCTACTCGCACCGCTTTGCTCTACGACGGACTCCGGTCTTTAGCCAGCTAGGAGTCTCGTTTGACGCAATGCCGGCCGGCCCACCCAGTTCAGGTTCTGCTACCGGGAAGAGAAGGGCGCGCGCACCCAGTCGACTTCGCCGGGATGCGGTCCGCGGCTCTTTTCCCTCCGACGCACCGGTAGCCCCTCCCCTTTAAGGAAACGGGGCGGGGCTACGCTTGCTGCAGAAACCTGCCCTTTAAGAGCGCCCCGCTTTCTTTCGCTGCTGCTGCTGCTGCGGCTGCTACAGCTGGTGCTGAAAACCAGCTCCCAATCGCCGCCGCCGCCGTTGCCGGAGGAGTCCGGGCCTCCTCGCCTTTGCCATGGTGTCCTGGATCATCTCCCGGCTGGTGGTGTAAGAGCGCGAGGGCGGCTGGGCGGGAGGCTCTCTCTGTGCTGTTGCCAGGCAACGGGATGAAGATGGGGACAGGGGGCTCGCGCTGTAGGCAGGGCTGCCTTCCCCGGGGCTTTAGCACGCCCTCCCCCCCTTTCTCCCCCGGGGCAGCTTGCGGGAGGGAGGCCAGCGCTCCTCACCCTGAATCTGGCGGCGGAGAAACCAGACGGGGCGTTGCCTGATGTCCGGGGATCCCTCGCCCCCTTGGGGAGGAAACTGCTGCGAAATAGACAGTCGGGTGAGCCAGCCTGACGGGCCTGGAAGGGAACTGTGGATGCAGCAGGTGAAGAGCGAAGCGCCTCGTTACTCGGCCTGCTCGATGGGCCGGTGGGGGTGGGGATTGGAAGTCGCTCAGGTTTGCGGGAGTCTGACGCCCACCCTGAATAACTGGAACCTCACTCTCTCTTCTCCACCCCCCTCCCCATTTTCTTTAAAAAACAAACAAACCTCTGGTTGCAGTCTGGTTTTTGGCACCCTGTATCCTGCTTATTCTTCTTACAAAGCTGTGAAGACGAAAAATGTGAAAGAATATGTAAGTGCAAGGAAGCCATCGTATTTATTTTAAGAATTAATCTTTCTCTGCCATGATTTTGGTATTCATGATTTGTCTCCTGCTCGGAAAATGACCAGGTTTTGTGAATGGGCAGGAAGCTGAGATTTTACTTTTTTGTATTCTTGTTTAATATGTTTAAAAAAAAGATCTTATTTATTTGATGTGAACATACTGTGGGATAGAACTGACATGCTTGTTCTGCTCTTAAGCAATTTCCCATATAATGACTCTACACACACACACACACACACAAACTAGATAAGCTGATGATGTCACCATATGCTTCTTCAGCTAATCGCTTCTTGCTTTTAATGTTGTAAAAGTTACAGCTAATATAAACTACAAGCTATTCCAAAGCATCATGTTTCTAATGGTACCACTGTCTTCAGAATAGCTACCATCTTGCAGGCTTCAGCCAACTTAAACACTGTATTTTGCATATTAGAACAATGACTATGTCACTAACATGTTTGCAAAAAGCATGGGAGGCTAAAAGTGCTTTTTAATGTCACTGGTGAAAACCCAATGCTCAGTTTTGTTGCCAATTTTAGTGGGGGTTTTTATTGCAGCACTGGAGTATTGGAGGATTGTCCCAAGTACTTAGCACTGGGTGTGTTGCCTGACAACTATTATGAAATTAAGAAACAAAAATCTATTTAAAATGAAGGTTCTTAATTGGACTGTAAAATACAGTATTGAACATCCCTAGACCACTTTTAGTAATTCATGAAAAGGTTAATAGGTTAATATGGGAAGTTAAAGCAGAAGAACATGTGTCAGGAATAATGAGAAATAGGTAAAGAACTGGAATAGAAAGAAGTATGGGAAAGATTGAAATTAGTCTCAGTGCTGCTTTTTTACATATATGCTTCTTATTTTGTTGTTTCATGCTTTGCTATGCAAAATGAAGTATATACTTTCTTTGTAGGATCATTTTTATTTATTTATTGAATTTGCATTCAATCAAACTCTCAATGACTCTGGGTAGCAAGAAATAATCAATTGGCTGCATTTGACAATCTGGGGTAAAACTCTTGGAGCAGCTTTTAGACGTTTGCAAATTGCAAAATATTTGTGATAACACTGATTCTGATAATCTGCAACATTTCAACTTTCACATTGTTAGCTTTCATAAACAGATATGAAATTATTGGGGGCCTAGCGTGGATATGCCAAATTTTAGCTATTTTCAGTATTTCATGCTTTTTCTGAGAACTTTTAACTTGATGTAGAGGTAACAACATGGGACTTCCCAGAATATATGTCTTTGTATATTTGTTCTTTGTGATACCCATGCTTCCAATGCTTGTTTTGAGAGGAAACTAGAAAGCAGAAGTATACATTATTCTTATAAAGAGAATGCTTGTGCCAGTTTTGATTATGTGATATTTACATTATTTAGCTGTCCTGAATTTGTTCTTCATCAAAAAGATGTCAAGATAACTCAAAAAAAGCTTTTGCCCTTTCAAAATAAATGAACATTAAAGACATCTGTCAAATACACTAGCAAGTATGTCATGCAACATATTTGTCCTTTTTATTAAAACAATTAATAGTATGACTCTTGAGATTTTCTTCCTTCCAAAGATTGTTCCACCAAGGAAATGCTGAAAAAGCCTTTGTCATGGTATTCTAAAGCCTTAGTTGCTTACTATACAAACTTTTTAATGACTGTCTCTTTTTTTGTCCCAAGAGTCATAAAATGGGACCGGTGAGGTGGCAATATTACCATCATGGAAGGCTAAAATGTGTGTCCGTTGTCTGGAACCGTAAACTGCAGAAGCCTCTTTATTTTGGCCAAACTCACCCCCAAAATCTTTTAATGCTATGAATTACCTGTTTAATATTACTGGTACCAAACCAGGGTTGTTCTGAAGCCCACACAAATGAAAAGTTGTGGATTGTTCATAAGTTCCACAAAAAAATGAACATCCTTTGGGGGCAATATATGGGGGAAGAAAGACAGTTCTAAATATTCTGGAAGAAACCAAGGATTCCAATCTTTTTAGGCCAGGCACCCATTTGACATTGTGAAACCCTGTCTGGAGTGAAAATGGCTGTCAGGGAAAACTTACCCATTTATAAAACCACTATTAATATAAGCTGGTACAAAATACCAATTTACCTGAAGCAAACTGGTGGAGACGTTTCCTGTCATTTTTTCTGGGCTATGAAGCTCTGCTTTCATCCCAAGATTATCGTTGCCTTTTTTTTTTTTTGGCTAGGCTTGCAAGGAAATTAATAAACTGCAATCATCCACCATTTTTATTTTCTAAAAACACATATACTTTACATCTTCACAGTATTTAGGGGCATTTTTGGAGATAAATAAGATCCTGTAGATTGGTGCTTTGTTTGCAGTATTAAAGAGAAGAAGGAGAAGGAGAGAACTCTTCAGGAGTATGATGCAGCTGATACTCAGGGTATGCTACCTATAATTCCAGAAGTAACAACAGCCATCAAAACTAGTAGCTATTAATAGCCCATCCTCCATGAATTTGACTTATCCCCTTATAAAACTGCTTGACTCGGAGACTACTACTATATCTGATTCTAACTATATGTGTACTTGTATAGAGATTTTTGTCCCAACTCAATCATTCAAAGAGCTGGTCAGGGAAATTACAAGAATTTAAAATCTTGACTGTATTCAGTACTTGTCTATTAAAATACAATAGTAAAATGTAGTAATTAAAATACAATAATGTCAGGAAACTCAAGTGAGACATTGGGCATATCACCAGCTTATTGATCGCAGTTTGTTAAGCATTTCTTTAAAACGTGTCTCAGTAGGAAGGGGGTGGGCGGATGTTGTAACAAAAGATGTAACTGAAAGAATCTTACGTAATCTGACAGGATATTTTCCTTTAGGGCAGCCCAAACTAAGCATGGTAAAATAATAAAGGAACTTATGTAAAGTAGAGCTCCTAGGCTTCTGCTACTTAGCGTATGTTGTCTGTCATGAAAAACTATCTGTAATTATTTTATTTATTTATTTAAATCATGTATTCAGCCACCCATGTTATAATAGCTCCCAATCAAAAATTATCTTTACCATCCCGGAGAAGTCTTAAGTGTACAATAGAAAACTTACAAAACTTACTAAGTATGAACTAGCAGTGGAAAAAGGCAAATTCCGTACTAAGAAATGATTGGAATAAGATTGAAAATAAAACAGTTATTATTTGTGTCTTTCTATAGTAAAGTCATTATTCCTGCCACAGAATGTGACCATTGTAAATGCTTTTGATTGCTCTTCAAAATACAAAAACTAAATGCGGACAGTTATGTCAGTGACCATTGTCCAAAAATGGCCTTCAATACCAATTGTCCAGTTTTCAGGGTAGACTATCTCTCAGTGATAATCATCTGTGTCAGTCTCTAAACTAGGTTTCAGGCTTATGTCGCTGATCATGACTTAAAATGCATTTCTGCCACTAGAATCTAAATATAGGCATGAAAATCTGTTGATTACCCAGAATGATGACACAAAACTATACCTAAATTGCTATAGATTAGGAATACCAACAACTTTTCAGCATCACCTCACTAACCTTTTATTTATTTTCTACCAAAGACTGTATATTTGTTATAAAGTATGTATATTTTATAAATATAAAAATATATAATATTTAGATATTCTATACCCCAAATCTTAGGAAATTGTGTATCAGAAACTAGAAAATTCACCTAATTGCAGTTTGCTTCTTATCACATGCAGTAGAAACAAATTACAACTGTCTAGCAATCCATATGATTAAATATGAACACATGCCAAATACAGCATTAAATAACATTCCACAAATCATGGTTGCTGTTAAAGCTACTCCTTGTGAATAAGTATCCATGAAGAAAAAACTAACAGGTGGAAAGAGCAGAAAGCACTGTAACCCACATGAGATAATCTGATCAGTTTGGGAAAATTTGGAGTTGACAGAAACCAAGCTGGAAGAACAGAAATATATGCAGAGATATTGGAAGAGTAGGAATTGTTGATTGAGAAGTGGAAGGAGATAGTGGACATTCCTTAACTGGGAGGCTTTGATACAATACTCATGCTTTTATCACGTCACTTTTGGATTACCATTATTTATTATACATATTGCTGCTCTTGAAATTCATTTAGAAGCTACACCATCCAGAGTGTAGCAACTCAAATAGAGATTGACTCATTTCAGTTTGTCGTATATCTCTAATATGGAATTCCACTGGTTGCCAATAGGCTTCCAGATACAGTTCATTCTGCTGGATATTACTTCGATGTGTTAATAAACGGAGAGTCCACAAAATTGCCTTCTGTGAATGGAATCTGCTTGTCTGGTGTGTTTTCATAGGGAAGTTGGCTGGAGGGACCCCAAGGACAAGCCTGCCCCTTGGTGACCTCCCTTCTTGGTAATAGAGCAGCTCCAGAGATGAAAAAATGTGCTTGCTCTTTCAGAGGGCCTTTGGGAATGGTGTGGAAATTGCTCCTGAAGGTGTGGTACTAGGAATTGCATTGATAGTTATGGTGTTATTGAAAATTATGATAGTGCTTATTTACTTTCATCTTATTATAATTTGGTTATTGTTTTGTATTTACTCTGTTTTGACCCAAATACTGCAAAGAGGAGTATAAGCAATTCAAAGAGTTTAATTTTGAAGCCAGATATAAGACCCAAACTTGGTCACTACTGAATTTTGAAAGCCTGTCTGAATAAAATGGTTTTCACAGCTTACAAAATGACAGTTAACGTTGTCTGGATTCAGAAGTAGACAGGCCTAGCCTGAATTCTACTTGAATGAGAGCCTACCAGGGAATTAAAAGACTATAGGCTAGACTGGAAGGTTGAAAAACATCCTGGGAAAAAGCAATGGTAAGCTCTGCACTATTGCCATGAAAATGCTGTGATTTTATCCGTGTAGTCACAAGGAGTCAAACTCAATTGGAGGGAGGATTTATCTTTTTATAGTTAGAACAGGCATTTGCAAGTCTGGGTCAGCTTTTCAAAAGATATTTTCAATAGCTTCCTTGTGGTTTATATGATTGGAAACTAAAAAAGCTCTCTAATTAGGAAAGAATATTGTGTAATAGTTTAGAAGGGAGATGGGTAAAGGGTTAGGTTAATGTTTGGACCTGACAGTGTTGATAATTCTTTTTCTTTGTAATATTAGAACACATGTTCATAAGAAAGAAAAAAACATTCTGCTGGATCAGACCAGGCCCATCTTAGGTCTGCACTTTGTTTCTCACAGCTGCCAACTAGATTCTACTGGAATGTTTGCAACTAGGAGACAGACAAATATTCCTCTCTTGCACTTTTTCCAGCTCTGTTATACCCTTTTTCAACGGTAACAACCAAAACTGTATACAATATTCTAAATCAGATACGGATTTAAATAAGAGCATTACAATATTGGCATTTTTATTTTCAGTTCTTTTCTTCAGAATTTGCATATTTTATACTTCACATGCACTGTCTCAGCACAGTATCTTCACTGAGTTATCCAGTATGATCCCAATATTTTTTTTTTCCTGGTTGGTTACAGATAGGTCAGATGCTGACAGTGTAGATGTGAAGATAGGGTTCTTTTGCTTAAGCGTGTATCTGTTTACATATATTTCAATTGAATCACATTAATAATTTGGTTGGTCACATACCCAGGTTATAAAGATCGTTCTGGAAATCTTCAGACTTACTTTTTGATTTTGTTTTCCTTAAGAGTTTAATAACTATAATTTTATCAGATGAAGTTAAATGTGAGAAGATTCAGTGATGGTACAAAGATACAACAGTTACACACCTAAATGTCTATGGAGATTCTCAGTCATCCAGGTCATGGTTGTCCCAAAAGTGCTTTTTCAAAAGGCAGCCTTTCAAGAAGCTCCAAGAAGGTTCCACACCCATTTACATTATTCAGGTGTACTCTGAGGGCACAGATAAACCTCCAAATGCCTCAACTACTCTAAGAAAGAATGCTAACAACCAGATCACTGCAAGAAATATAAATCCTTCCACTCTCCACCATTTATTCAGAACTGAGGAAGCATTCTTGGATGAGAAGTGAAATGTCTCAAGAAAAAACAAAGAAAGTCCAGTTGCTTTTTGAAAAAGCACCTTTGGGACAGTCACACATTTAGATGGCTATGAACAGTGCTTTTTTATTAAAAAAAAAAAAGTGCCAGAACTCACACACATCATACAACCCGCCTTGCCTACCCTACAAGGTTTACCTTTGTAGTTGAAAAAGAAAACCCTTCCATTTTTAGTGTATCTAAAAGACTAGGATTTTGTTCAAGGTAAGTTAATACTATTAATGTTACCATGCATTGTGTGGCTTTAAATTACAACATTTTATTAATCTTTTGGGACATTTACCACTGGCATACCCATTTAGTTTAATGAGTGGAAATGACAGCTTTCTATGTGGAACGAAATTGGCCCAATAAAACAAAATTTGATTGCTTGTAAAAGAGTGAATTATTTTTAAGAAGTTGTCAAATAAGGTGAAAAAATTTACATTTGGAGTTTAATATGGATATTGACTTGAAACAAATTAAAGTTGAAACTTTGTCAGTGATCAGATTACTTTTAATTTACCTTTAAGTTAAACCCAATTTAATAAATAGATCTGATTAAACTTCATACTGTAGGTCTCCTTTACATCTGAGCAATACATAATTAATATATATTAGTATTAATAATAATACCTCCAAATCCACAAGACATTGGCTTTATTCTTATTCTTCCCCTCTGCAGTTTGAATATAAAGTATAAAAGACTAAAAAGAGATTTTCGTAGACATCCCAGCCTTTGAACTACCCAAGGAACCGAAACAGCAAAGTTTCACTGTCAGGCAAGCTTCCACGCCAGCCACCTTTCTTTCCTCTCACTTAGCCTCTCTTTAATCTCACAGCCCACCTTCTGTAAGGGAAGGCAAAAGGCTCACTCACCCTCTCGTGAAAGATGGCCTCCATGTTTATGTGTCTCCCACCGCCACCATCGGCTTCCACACCACATGGTCCGACCCAGCCAATCAAACCACATTCTGGCTGTGGTGCTCCGGCGCCTCATGGCTTCTCCTAGAGGAGGCAAATAATGCCGGAGGGGACCCCGCTCGCACCGTACTGCCAGCGGGGCATTTTCAAAAACAAATGAGGATAGGAAGGAAAACAATAGGAAAAGAACGCAACTCTGGAAAATCCATTGGAAAAAAGATGCCGGAACTCTGTTCCGGTGCATTCTATGACAAAAAAAAAGCCCTATGAAGAAATCTAGACAGATGATTGGTATTTGTCTAGTACTGCTATCAATTATTGTTAGCCTTGATATATTCCTCCAAAATTTAAAAAATAATAACCTGTTTTATACTATACATTGAGAAAGCAATTTTTAGCTAGCACAATGAAAGCTGGCTGTAGTCTAATTTCTAGGATTTGTTTGACTTCTTTCTAACATTATGCTGGACCAGACATATGATATTGTTGGGCTCTGCTAATGTTCTTACACTCTTATTTAATGAACAGCAGGGGGAGCTAGCGCCTGACTGCCTGGCTGCCTGCCTGCCTGTCTGCAATCAAGGTGCTGGCATACAAATATCTGCTATACAGGTAGACCTCAATTTACGACCATAGGAGAGTCCAAAATTCTGGTTGCTAAGTGAAACATTTGTTAAGTGAATTTTGCCCCATTTTACGACCTTTCTTGCCACAGTTGTTAAGCAAATCACTGCAGTTGTTAAATCAGTAACATGGTTGTTAAGTGAATCTGGTTTTCCCATTGACTTTGCTTGTTAGAAGGCCATAAAAGCAGATTACATGACCCCGGGTCACTGCAATGGTCATAAATGTGAGTCAGTTGCCAAGCATCTAAATTTTGATCAGGTGACCACAGGGATGCTGCAATAGGTCCTAAATGAGAAAAACAGTCATAAGTCACTTTTTTCAGTGCTGTTGTACATTAAACCGGTTACTTAGTGAATTGTTGTAAGTCGAGGACTACCTGTATGGAGTACGTTGTAATAAAACAATATCAGCTGTTAATTGCTGTGTTGAATCATGAAGTTGATGTGGGTCTTTTAGGTAATATGTTTTCATCCTAAATACTTGTTGCACTCTTTTGGAGAACTCTCTGGTTTTCTGTAACTCTAAATATGCCACTTAGGGTTCCTAAGCTTTTAAACAAGTTTTGAAAAAAAATGCAGAGGATTGCAAAAAGCTTTCCCCCATCCTTGGGGTAATTTTCCACTAGCAGAAAAATTCCATGGATTTCATCTTTTGATGAAATTCCCTCTGCTCCCAATGTTACCTCTCATTAGACAAGCTATTGGACGGTAAATATATCAGTTATATACTGCATTGCCAGGCTTCAGTGTTTGAAGTAAATAAAATTTGAGGGCGTTAAATGGTGAAAGAAGAACATGCATGACAAACTTTGCTTACAAACTATAAAGTGATGTTTGTGTAAATATTTGTTTTTATATATGAGAAAAAAATGCTCAGAATGTTTGGTACCTATAAATGAAATATTTGTTTTAAGATAAGGCCTAATGTTCAGCATACTTTTAATGCAATGGTTACCTTGCAGGTTAAATGGATGATGTATTGGATTGTATTTGCCTTCTTCACCACAGCAGAAACGCTCACAGACATCATTCTGTCTTGGTAAGTTCTTTACCAGTGATAGGAACTACTTGATACTGTAATATTTTTAAACCATTAATCTAAAACTGACAATTGTATTGTGAAGTGTTTCAGTAAAGTATTCTATTTTCTCATTCTTGACTGCTTTGAATGTTTTTTTCCAAAATCTTTTTTATTTTAAATGTTTGGCGGAAATACTCATTTGCTGTATCACATATGATATATCTCATAAATTGAATGTTTGAAGTTGGCAAAATATCTTATTCTTTCTTCCAAGAGTAATTTTTTTAAAAAAAATGGATTCTGGCTCTGAATAAAATGGTTGTTTCTCATACTATTGCAACTTGTCAGTGTCTTTTGCTTTGTGAAATAATATCAAAGTATTTGTTCTCTGAAAACACACTGAGGAAAGAGTTGTTACTCCAATCCTACAGTAATAGTTCTGTTTAAATACACCTTACTGGCAACTTGTTCAAAAGACGTGAATCAATGGGTTATGTACTGGGATGAGAATGTTGGGTGATTTTGAGGCAAAGAATTGATCATGTAAATCCCCACAGTGATGATAATTTATTGCTATCTGAAAAAAAAAATAAATGGTACAATCATTGGCACTTAATTCTATGATTGCTCTGTTGGAGTATTTATTAAATTTATAAAAGAAATCTGAAATGAGATTTCAGAAAAGAGCATTCTTGAAAAGAATGAGAGCCAGTTTGGTATAATGGTTAAACCAGGAGACTATGAGTTCTAAGCCACCTTTAGGCGCGAAAGCTGACTGAGTGACTTTGGGCCAATCACTCTCTCTCAGTCCTACCCACCTCACAAGGTTGTTGTTATGAAGAAAATAGAAGGTAGCTGGCTTTGTGATATTGATTCTATTCTGTCTATAGTTCATTTTTTCTTCCTTTGCTTATTCCATCTGTACTATTCTGGACTGTCAACCTTTGTCTGACTCTAACCTGAGCTTGATTCTAGCTTTTCCATTTCTCTCAGGTTTCCCTTTTATTTCGAGTTGAAAATCGCATTTGTGATCTGGCTGCTCTCTCCTTATACCAAGGGATCCAGCGTCCTGTACAGGAAGTTTGTTCACCCAACGCTCTCCAATAAGGAGAAGGTACTGCAACTTGCCCAATTATCAGACATGAAGAATTGAGTCACTTCAAATGTAGTTGGGTTGCAGGGGGAAAAAAAGCCTTTGAAATTTGTCATGCCCATGTTTATGAATGCTGAATGCATGGCATCTAGAGCTGGGCATAAATAACCTTTCGAAATTGCCTGCCTAATATCTGGACAGAATTTATTCAAAAATATTTCACGGGCAGGATTCCTATGTAATGATGAAAGTAGCAACATCCCAGAAAAGGCTTGATGGGAAGAATTCCCTCCTGATTTGTCGGCCAAACTATTGGGCATGAGGGAGGTTGCAGACTATTGGAAAGATTATTGTACAATGAAATGTACTTCATATATAATCCTTCTCCTCCTCGTCACTAAATAAGTGCAAGGATGCCAAATTCCATTTCCATTAGAAGAATTTCTAAAACAAATCTTTTATCACAGTTGAAGAGACCTGATAGAAAAATGTAAGAGAATTTTTTTCTGCCCTTATTAATGGGAATTAGGGTCAGCCTGGGATCAGCTTACGTGAGGTGGTCTAGGATGACTTGATGCTGCTTTAATGTGGCCAACTGGGGGCAGCCTTCTCACCACCCCCAAGTCCCCTCTGCCAACTTGCTATTGCCATTTCTTTGCAACACTGAAACTTTGCTGCGGGGATAACTCGCTGTGACAGCTGGATGGAGAGCCAGCTGGCTGGGTGAGCAGGTTGTGGGGGGGGGGGGCAGGGATGGGCGGAGAGTGGAGTTGGGGGCAATGGCACGAATGCAATGACGGGGGGGGTGGGGGTTTCAAAATGGGAAGTCCTGCAACTTTTTTTTTTTTTAAGGCACATTGCTTAATGTTTGAGGGTGTCTTGCTCTGAAAATAAGGGCAGCTTTGGGAAGCAAAGGTTTGTTTTGAGTTGCATTCAAATTCTTGCCCAACAAGCAGATTGCAAAGTTTGCAGCTGCGTTTAGCTGCAGTCTGATGCACCACGGAAATGGGGCTGCATGGACAGGAAAGTTTGGAGTCCAGACTGGAAAAAAACCCTCTTCACAGCATTATTCTTCTCACAGCATTAGTGTCAGCTTTGGGAGGAACATTGCTGCAACTCTCTGTCTAAACGCACTCTGTGCATGACCAAAAACACAATGAAATCACCCCACCCAGTTTTGGGAAAAAGCACTCTGAACATGACCAGAAACACGATGAAAGCACTCTGCACATGACCAGAAACGCCATGAAATCACCTGCCCCTCATTGGGAAAAGCACTCCGCATGTGACCACAAACACCAAGAAAGCACTCTACACTTGACCAGAAACACCAGGAAATCACCCATCGGGCTCTGGGGAGTAAATCGCTGTGATGCTCCATGCAAACAGAAGTGTTTCTGGTCACTTGCAAAGTGCTTTCCACCCAAAGCCAGGTGGATGATTGCCTGGTATTTCTGGTCACATGCAGAGTGCTTTCATGGTGTTTCTGGTCATGTGCCTCCTTTTTAAAATAGTTCATGCTACTACCTCTTGCTAAATAGTAAGAAGAGCTATGCAATTTTTCATCCTTCAGAGTAATAATGTTCACTGGAATATTAAATTTATTTTCTTTAATCAGCATCAAGTCAGAGTTGCTGTTAACTTTAAGTTGATCCTAACTTTTAAAGCTCCAATATGTTGTGCCACCTATTTTATCATAATTTCATAGAATTTTGGGCTTCGGATGGCAAATGATTCACTTTCTACAGCATCATAGTAAAAGAAGAGATTAGGTCTTTATGGAGAAAATGATTGCATGAAAGAATAATGTGAAAAAAGAATTAAGTTAAATAAATTTTTATCATGTTAGGAAGTAGTAATGCACTGAGCTACAAATTGTATCCTCTAGACAACTTTAAATCTTATGAAATACATTTTATATTTTCGTAATTTATTGTTTTGTTGATTTGTTGTTGTTGGTAGAGATGCAAAAAAAGACTCCCTTTTCCAAGCTACAGGTTGGTCACACTACCAGAAAGCTGCAATTTGTGTTTCTTTTGTACTTGAATACAAATCAACATTATGCTGTTTTATATCAGCTGTAAAAGATCCATATATATTAAAAAATTTCATGCTTCACTGTAAAATACCCAGAAGTGCCAATTAGGAAATAATTAAGCTCTTCCTTCTGAATACGCTTGACACAGATCATATCAAATGCATTTGGAAGGAAGAGCCTAATGATTCCATTTAAGATTCTATTTAAGATTCTGTTCTAAGTAAGGTAAAATTATGTTAACAGGCATCAGCACTAGTGTTTCTCTCAGAGCTTAACTAGTTTACAAAGTAAGCTAGTTTTGTTTAGAGTACACAAATCTATACTTTTTAATCATGTGCATTTATTCATATTTAGTTCAATGAAACAGCCTCCAGCATAAATTAATACCTCAAATTATTACTTTTCTATACTGCAAAATATTCATTGTTAGTCCTTGCAGTTTTTGCTGCTCAGGGAGTGAATTCAGTAGGGAATCCTGTGTTTTGTTTTGTTTTTAAGTTAACTATATGAACTTTTATTGATTGATTGATTTGATCTGTTACTTTTATACGCTTGCTTTCCTAATGGAAACTCAAGAAGCCTGGATCTCTTGGTGCCCATCCAGCACCAAAACTCACTGGCCCTAGTGACCACCAGAAGCTTTGCTGGCTGAGGAATTCTGGGAGTTGAAGTCCACAAGTCTTAAAGTTGCCAAGGTTGAGAACCCCTGCTCTAGGTAGATAGCAAATATTACTAGTTCGTGATCTGGTCAAATTACCATCAACACCATTCCAGTAAGTGTTGATCGGGAGTAAGAAATCCTGTTCTATGCAGGATGCTGCAGTGCTTGGTACTTTCTCTACTCCTATTAAATATCTACATAAAATGTCTGGGTAGATCATCCATCACCATGGGGTAAGGTATAATCAATAGGCTGATGACACCCTGTATTCTCATGATACATCTCTGCCCCTGGTGAGCTGCTGTTCATCTACACTCTTGGTGCCTAAAGGCTTCGGGGGTCTGGATGGGAACAACAGATTTCAGCTGAACCCTGGCAAGTCTGAGTGGCTTTGGATTTTAGAGCCTTCCTTATCTGGGGATTTAGCAACATTCATGCCCCAAGCCTAACAGACCCAGTGTGCAACTAGGTGATTCTTCTGGACTTACAACTTCTGTTCAAAGAGCAAGTGGCAATAATGGCTAAAACGGCCTTTGCACAAATGGCATGGCCATTATGCTCATTTCTGGAATTCGGAGGCTCTACTCATGCCCTAGCCACCTTCCAAATGGACTACTGTAATATGCTCTACATGGGGCTGTTATTGAAGAGTATCTGAAAGCTTCAGCTGGAGCAAAATGCAGCAGCATAGGGAGTTATGCATGTGAGATCTGCCTATGTTGCACCTCTGCCACCTGGCCTGCTTTGGTTGGCAATTTGCTTCCAGGTCAAATTCCAGGTGCTGGTTATAACTTTTAAAGCAAAGCCCTATCCGGATATTTGAGGGACTACTCCCAGGTTACATCTACCTGTTTCATCAGATCCAGCAGGAGGGGCGTGTTGAAGGTCACATTGGCCAGAGAATGTGAATAGGCAGCTATGCAGATGTGATTAAATAAATAAATTACTTTCCATAGACTGGCATCAAGAATGTATTTGACAACTAACCTTTTAGATCATCACAATGGTGCTGTATAAAACATTCAATGGCTCCATTTGAATACCAAATTGTCTGTCCGTCTGTATGTATGTATGTATCTGTCTTTCTGTCTGTCTTTCTGTCTGTCTTTCTGTCTGTCTGTCTATCTATTTATCTATCTATTTATCTATCTATCTCACACATTTCTATACCACCCATCTCCTAAGACCACATATTTTGCCAAATATTTCTAGAATGTGAACTTTAGTAAGAAAATTGAGATTTGAAAGAACATTTCCAGGATCAATTTTGTTTTCTCTGATAAGACATTGGTGTAAGTGATTTTTTTTAAAGTTATAAATATTGATGATTAACTTTGCTACAATACATGTAACAATTGTGGTATTTGTGTGAGCTAAATTTCTTGGTGTTAATACCAGATATGTATATTAAATGTATTTCGATTTCATCTCAATGTGATTTGTTGTTATCTCCAGCTCTTTGCCTGCCTACCTATTATTTATCCATCCATCCTTTTTTGTAGACTATGCCTAATGTGATTTATGTATATCAAAATCTCAAAGACAGTAATTAAAAATTAATGTAAATTAATATAATGAGTTGAAGTCCAGAACTGAGTGTCTGCAAACCAAAGTGAAGGAACTGGGATCCAATGTATGTCTCTCACTGCAAGAAAGTAGTATGGCAGTGATTTTCATGGGTTCCTACCCTCCCATCCCCTGGTTGCTGATAGCATCACAAACTATGTTCTAGAAAATATCCCAGCCATTTGCAACAGATTAGAGCAGGAGACTGAATAGATTTTGGGGTTGTGAATAAGTAGAAATCAACCTCCCTTTTATTTCAGACCAGTCAGGTCATATAAAATAATGCAAATAAAACGATACATTTTGACAGTTTAGAATAGGAAAGGGAATAAAGTAGAAATAATACAGAAATAACAATATGCTTAATACAAGGCTACAGAAAAGCATTTTATAATTAAACTCAGTGAAATTTTCTCTCAATCACACCTCACATATCCTTCCTCCTAGCTTTCCCAATTCTATAACAGAACTAGGGGAAAGAAAAAAAAACCCAGACTCTACAAGAAAGTTTTTTATTTCTGAAGACCTGATGAAATAGTTGTATTTTTAATTTCTTTTCAGGGAGCAAATAATGAATGCAGCACAATAGCCTGTGTCTTTATAATACAATGTAATGTCATATATTTATACGAGATGACGGAAAGACAACATGCATACTGTTATTTGTATTTATAGCACCTTGCAATTTGAGGAGAATGAGAAAATATTCCGAGTTGATTGTCAGATAGTACACGTCTAGGTGTGCAGGCTATTCACAGTTGCTCAACTCTGTAGATACACCATGAAGTATAGCCTTACCTCACTGTATTTAGTCACTGAAGTCAGGCACTTTTCTCCCAGCTTGCTTCACTACTAATGAGTGAGGGAGCTGAGATTAATTTATCTGAGTAGTAGAGCACAAGTAGTTGTTTTTCTCATCTGTATACATACTCTTTTTGAAATTAAAAATGGGCCTTTTAGATTTATATGCTTTATAAGGGAATTATATTTCATATAAAAAATGGTCAAGTTATGTCTAGTTTGGCCCTTAGTTTTATATCCACCAAAGGTGAAAACGTTAAATTAACTTGAAGTACTCATGTAAGTTCATCATTAAAATCACTGAAGTATTGAAGTGTCAATAGTGAATTCCACTGCCCACACTGTTTACTAAATCTTTACACCAAGGCAGAATGATTAAATATCTGAAAAACAGCCATGAAACACCAGCCACTTAAAACAGTAGATAATGTACTGTTACAATGCATACTGGGTATTTATCAGGGACTTTATCAAACCAACAATCTAAAATAAAAATAAGCCAAACTTCTATAGTGTATCAGTTGATGTCTTTTTATCCCGCGCTAATAGGTTAGCTTGTAATCATATGATGATCCCTATTCAGAATCTCAGTGTGAGCAATACAGTATGAGGTACTCTGTGGCCCTTTCCTGCTGAATTTTAGTATGCATTGACTATATTATTACATAGGAATCTATATAACATTATATAGGGAACTATATTGTTAATTAGGTATGGAATATATAATATTTTTCTTATATGCTCCATATACCTTTTCTTATCCCATGATATATATTATCTAGAGATAATTTGTAGCCCATCCTGATCAAGAAATATTTGCTAGTACAGTTGGGAATAATTTATTTTATTATTGATAGAAGGTGATTCATTAGGACAAATCGGAAGATTTCCCTTCTGTTTGAGTCCTGAAGCATAAAGATCTAGTGAACTCCACAAGGCTTAGAATCTTGTCTGTATGCAACTTATGCTAGAAATCTATAGGTAAATAATGTTAATTTCTAAATGTATTCTTACTCCATTTAAATCCTAGGAAATAGATGAATATATTAGCCAGGCCCGTGACAGGAGTTATGAAACTATGATGCGTGTTGGCAAGCGAGGATTAAATCTGGCAGCAAATGCAGCAGTTACTGCAGCTGCAAAGGTAACTCCTTATGTCTTTATTTTAATATCTGCTTGTTCCATTCTGCTTGGTAATTTTGGTGTTTCCCTTCACTGCATTCATTTTCTTACTGTCAACTAGCTACATGCCACTTGGACAATTTCTATATGTTAGAGAAAAGACAGTCATTTCATTTTCTATCCAGATTGTGTCACTGATGCTCCATTATCTTGCCTTTGTATTTAGTTTTCCATCAAAGGTTCTTTCAATATTCCCCTTAAGATGCATTTTGATATAGTACATGTGGATAATTGTAACTTGGAATTGTGTTTTAAAGGGCCAGGGGGTTTTGTCTGAAAAACTTCGGAGTTTCAGCATGCAAGATTTGACTTTGATTCGAGATGATGACACAATGCATTTGCAAAGCCCCGAGTCACACATGCATATGTCTTCTAAGGGCCATCTTGAAACTATTGATGATTCAGGTTAGTGAAGTCAGTCTCTATTAAATTTATTGATGTTTATGTCAGATCAAACTGAACACTGAAGGCAGTTTATAATGTAAAGCAACACATAGACACGCAAAGAATAATTCAACATACAATAAATGAAAACAGATAAATAAAAATCAGTACCTGTTACAGAAATGAATTGGCAAGAGACTTATTTTTACACACTAATGCTTTATAAATGGCTTTATATTCTTCTATGAATGCAAGTATAAGACCCTTTGTATAAAAGTTTTTAAGAGTCTGTCTTAAAAGAGAGGATGTAATTACCTCTGGCATTTTCTTGGAAAAAGGAAAATATTATCTGCTGCACCAAAGGGCATGTGTTCCCCTGTATTTTTAAAGGGCATCCCTCTCAGCCACATGTAAAAGAGAGCAGCATACAAAACAGGAGTTTTCTTCTCCTGGCATATAGTGACCATGGCATGTATTCTTGCACTCCATTCATCTAGATCAGGGGTAGGCAACCTTGGCTCTTTTATGACTTATGGACTTCAACTCCCAGAATTCCTGAGCCAACTTGGCTGGTTCAGGAATTCTGGGAGTTGAAGTCCATGAGTCATAAAATAGCCAAGGTTGCCTACCCCTGATCTTTATCCAGTCAATAACCTGACTTGGAAAGGGGATTTTGTACAAACGGGAGAATTTGATTTCATAACTGTATGAACAGGCTTTTCATATTCTAAATGTTACTATTCATTTTTAAGTATACTATAAAATAGTAACAAAAAAGAAAGGCCACCTAGAGCGAATAGATTGGGTTGTGGAGCTACTGCTGCTCTTTTGTTGTAAAGGAGTGGAATTTCAATTATGGGATTCAGAAATACATTTAATTTCATATTTCCATTGACCTCGAGTTCAATTCCTTGTAGATAAATATACTCATTTTTTTTCCTTGCCTCCCAAAACCTCTGTGTCTTGAGTATCTTTTTTACCTTTAGGAAGCAGCCCCACTATTGTTTTTCTCCTTAGGTGCATCGTATTACTCTTCATCTGAGGACATAGCTATGACTCAGAGACATAATGGAACACAGTCTGATTCTAGAACTGAGCCATCTGATGATGATACAGGAGACAAAGTTCCAAAACGAACCCAGAGCCTTAAAGCTCCTAAGAAAACAATAAAGACTGAGGTGAGATGGCCTGCTGGTGTATGGATTTTCTATGTGTAAATTGCGGCTTCTTAAACAATAAAAGGTAGAAATACTTGAATCATACTTGAAACATGTTTCACCATGGTACACTTTTTTTTTTTACTTTTTTTACTTCACCCCTAAGGCTTTAACACAGTGTCTGCCTTTTCCAATAAATCAGCCTTCAATTTTGTTTTACATTATTTTTCCACTCAACCAGAATTTAAGTAAATGAAAGCATTCTGATAAAGAACATTCCTGCCTCAGTTCACCATTTCCTTATAAATAGTAACATGTGGCATGATTTGACTTGATAACATTACAGTATACATTGCAATTTCATCACTGTCTGGAGAGCAAACTCTTCCTTGAAAATTCTCACCTGAATACAATCAGAACTGAGAATATACATTTTTCAGTTGGGGGTTAAAATATTGGCTGCAGAAGCACCATTCTTGTCACGATAGTTAACTGACTATACTAGTTCTTCTATAAGGGGATGGACTAACCTAGCCAACCACCAATGAAACTTTATTCTGGGTTTTTTTTAGACATAATTTGTTTTCAGGAAAGAAACAGAAATTCAGCTAGAAGTGCTTACTCAGTATTCAGTCTGCTTATTAAAATTCAACAGAGAAGGAAGAGAAGGAATAGAACAGAATTATTGAAGTCTCCATGCCATTGGAAGGGATAGTTTAAAGAATTAAAATAAGACACAATTTTCCTCTCTTTGCTTTAATGAGACAATTACAGCATTTAGTATTGAAATGTTACTTCCATAGAAATATGGGGGTGATGGCAATAGCTCCAGTAAGTGATTATTATGTCTTCTTCTAATTTTAAAATCAAAATCAGAACCGATAAGCATCTCTGTTCTTCATCCATGCCTTCTGTCTTCATATTTGTTTAAACTCTTAACCCTTGAAACCAGTTCTGCTACCTGAACTAAAGGGGTGATTGGAAAGAAAGGTTCCTATTCCTTTTTCTTAAATCTTTGTCTTTTCATGCTAAAATCCCTTAAGCTGGTTGTTTGGATACTTATTAAATTTCTATCTCACCTTCCCAATAAAAATCTTTCTAATAAAAACTGTATTACTGTAATATTGACAATAATAAGTATACAAGTTTGCCTCTTATTATTGTCAATAATAAGTATACAAGTTTACCTCTGTTTTTAATTGAAGTATGCCACTGCTGTTATATAACTTCCAGAGATCACAGTTACTAGTTCAGTTGTTGGAGTCCTACTAGTAGTAAAACAGAGGATTTAAGAATCAGCATTTTTAGCAGTGCTGCTCAGTTTTTGAAGCTGTTAGCTCAGTGGCGAATTAAACAAAACTGTTTTTCAAAATATCTTTTTTGCAACTAATGTCCTGTTGTGAATCTCTTGCTTTACAGCCTCCACAGAAGGCAGTGAAAGCCCGTCCCAAGAAGAAAGCTACAGGCTCCACTCCGGTTGGTGAATCAGCCTAAGGACAATCCAGCTAAAAGTCTGTCCCAGAGCTCTTCTGCCACTGTGGGGGACACTCTCCAAGGAATGGGAGCTGAGATCTTGTACATAACAGCTACCGCTTTGTAGAGCTCATTCCAAGGCGAGGTGGTGATTGAAATTTGGCACACAGATCAGAGGATGGCGATCCTCAGGAATTATATACTCTTCGTCTCTATGATGGAAAATGCTAATCTGTCTGTATATAGCCTGTTGTTTTGGGATTCCCTCTCCACGTGTAACCCTAGTAGAGAAACTCTTTGCTGGAATACCTCTTTAATTAGGGTTAGAACCACTTTTGGCAGAGAAGCTGGTTAAAAAAAAAATGAGTGCAATTGAAATTCTAATTTGCATGGAGAGCTCCTGGTAGCTCTTCACTTGCTCTGTCATGATTTAGCTGCTATGGGGAATTGTTGGGAAGTGCCTGAAGTAAGGTGACTGGTACTGAAAATTATCGTTCAAAATTGCTTTGGCGAAAGAAAGAAGGAGAAGTGATAGTTTGCTGCAAATGCAACATCTTCACTGTCCGTGAAGTGGGTTTTGGCAAAGAATTTCTTGGCAGGGCTTGGGGGTGGGTGGGCGGGCTGCAGTGGCGTGAGGAAAAGACGAGTAGCGATGAGAATGAAAGTGGCTGGCTTTGCTACCAGTATCTGGTCTTTCTATGCAGAAGCCTCTTTTGCTTGGGTGAAATTATTGTGACTTTGCTTATGTTAAGTATTGGAAAGGGGAAATGTTTTTTTTTTTTACAAGTAGAAGAAAGATGGCAAAACTAAGTGAATCATGGTTGGAGCAGGACATTTGGGAACACCTGAGCCTAGATCACTCTCTCCAAAGCATTAGAATCCTGAGTAATTACAATCTAAGTATCAAACCTTTGGGCCCCTTCTTCAGAGTTGCCTTGATATTTTAGGTTTTATAGATTGGTCTGTTTTCTGTAAGAATTGTTTTAAAGAAGTGGTTGTGTGGAAGCAGTTGGAGGATAGAAAGCTGAATGGCACATACGTTTCTGCTGGCTTTTATTTGCAGTCAGAATATAAGTTGAAGTTGATCAGTACATCTAGGTAAGCTGGCCAAAAACAATAATCGTTTTTGGAGTTTTTCTGAGTGGCATTTTGCAATAAGTAATAGGGACATCTCCACTTATTCTAAATGTAAACAATTAATGCAGTACTCAGTTCTCAGGAATTACAGTTCTTCTTTCTACCATCCAAATCTTCCATCATTCTCTACTTGTGCTATTTACTTGGTAGAGACAATACTGTTTGCTGTTTGAGACTACCTAAAGTTAAGCGACCGCAAGGATTTAGATTTTATATAGAATTATGATAGTACCTAATCCGGTAATGAAACATCTGCAAGAAAACAACCAAGCTCAGAGAGCATCAAGGACCCTACAGCATTATAATAAAATTGATGAAGTAATCCTTAAAATGCACTGTTTCACAAGCTTTAACATAAATACAATAATCTAAAATTATAATGTAAGGAAGCTTAGATAAATAGTAGTGACTCTGATTTTTATTAGGTTAGTTCCATTTTATGAATACTGTATGCATCAAGGCCACCAGTCTTTACAGATGAAGCAAATCTTTGCCTATTAGGCTTATTCACAAGTTCTTAGGTAGCAGCATCAGCTTTTAGATATGCAACATAACACTTCAGTGTGTTGTTTGAAAACTTTTTTCCTAGCACAGACTACCACATTTACTAATTTTTAAACATGTTTGTTCAAATTAATCTATACCAAGTTCAGTGGGACTTACATCCTAGTAAGCATACTTTCCAGAGTTGCCTCTTTAAACTAATTCTCTTATTTTGCATTGTTGTTATAAAATGCAAAGATCATTAAGATAACAAAGGAATTTCCTTTAAAGAAAGTGTTTTTAATTCTACTTCCAGTCAGTTAAAGAATTTCCTTTAAAGAAAGTGTTTTTAATTCTACTTCCAGTCAGTTCCACTTGTGTTGAACTTCTGGTTTGGACATCTGTCAGTTCTTTTTCCCCGCAAGGACAAAGAGAATATTCATAGTGTGTTTGCTGTTCTCTTCCCCCTCCTTCCCAGCAGTGTTTAATGCCAAGGATTTGGCAAACAATTAAATACATTTTCTAATTGTCAAGGATGCTGACTGTAAATATGAAATTAGCCTTTTTAGTAGTTGGGAGATTGACTTTGCCAAGAATAAAAATGTAGTAGCCTGCTGTACTTTCTAGTTAGTTGATTGCTCTTTCCCAATGCTCTGCAATTACTCTTGAGTGGTCCTGTTTATAAGGGGTTTAGGTATGAAGCAACTCCATTTATATATAAAATATGACCAGGGAAAGGAAGTGCGGTTGGAGTCTGGATTGACTGTATTGAAAAACCTTTGTATTTCTGCAGTATTAGATGGGGAGGTGTGCTCCCTTCAGAGTGAAAGTTGCACGGCTTTATTCACCTACTCTTTGTCTTTTACTGCAGATTCTGATTTTTTTGTTTATACATGCCTTTTATTTCTCACAACATGTATATTAGATTGCTCCTGGGAGTCATGATTCTTTGCTTGTCAATGATTTGCACAGAAGTTAATGGATTAGGTTCACAGCAATCATTCTTGTACATTATTCTCTTTTTCAGCAGTGACTGTTAGCATTACTTTCCTGGATAATTAAATCTCCTGCAAGAGGCTTTTGTCACTCTATAAATTTGCCTTCTCCCTATCCCATCAAGTCTAGTCTTGAGAAAACTCCTATTGTAAATTTTCAAATTAGCCTGCCCTGGATACACTTGTCATTTACATTATTTGTTCATGTTCCCATTGCAGTTTAGTTTGTATTTGTGTGTGTGTGTGTGTGTGTGTGTGTGTGTGTGTGTCTATGTAAAATTCCCTTCTCTCCCCATTAATAGTCTGTGTCTTCCTCAATCTTGTATCCTCTACCAGAGGCCTGGAGGTTTAAGGGTTCTGTGCAATATCTTAGCTCTTCCTAGCACTGTAGTCTTCTAACATTGGAGCCATTCTCCTAGGTTAAGGGTAATAGCCCTTGGGACCATTTTGGTCTTTATTTTTCCACATCCTCTCTAGTTCCTCCTTCAGGCCCCGGTTCTTCTCCAGCGTTTCATACTCCTTCTTCCTGATGTTTCTGTCACTTGATACATCTACCACCACCATTGTTTTCTGGTCTCTCTCTCTCTCTCTCTCTCTCTCTCTCTCTCTCTCTCTCTCTCTCTCTCTCTCTCTCTCTCTCTCTCTCTCCCTCCCTCCCTCCCTCCCTCCCTCCCTCCCTCCCTCCTCCTGATGTTTCTGTCACTTGATACATCTACCACCACCATTGTTTTCTGGTCTCTCTCTCTCTCTCTCTCTCTCTCTCTCTCTCTCTCTCTCTCTCTCTCTCTCTCTCTCTCTCTCCCTCCCTCCCTCCCTCCCCCTCCCTCCTCCCTCCCTCTCTGATGTTTCTGTCACTTGATACATCTACCACCACCATTGTTTTCTGGTCTCTCTCTCTCTCTCTCTCTCTCCTCTCTCTCTCTCCCTCCCTCCCTCCCTCTCTCTCTCCCTCCCTCCCTCCCTCCCCCCCTCCCTCCCTCCCTGTAATACTCATGACCATTCACTTTTGTGACACTTTTTCTTTCAAGAACATTATACTACTGGCCTGCATTCATCTTGGTAGATATATATTACAGCATTAATAAATCTTTCATTTTGGTTGTCAGTCTGAGTCTAAAGGATCTGGCAGCTCAGCTACGTGGTTCCTGGATGATATTTTGCTTAGTATTTTGTTGTACACTTCAGTGCTGAAGATGTGGCGTTTTCTAACTAATGCAGCAACTTTCGTACTAATTGAAACAATGTTTTCATCAATGTTATTTAAACTTCTATGACAAATGAGAAGAATGTTAGTGTATTTCACATGGCTATTATTCATTTTTGGGTTTTCAAGATTCCTAGGATAATTCAGTGAAGTAGATTGGTATTCAAATTCTTTATTTGAAGTTCACTTTTTTCTGAATGGATGCAGCCAAAATACATGGTATTAATTATATAGTTTAATATTTTGCTGATTTTTAACTACTGCAAGTATCAGTTGAAACAGAAAAAAGGACTAATCAGGCATGAGCACGTAGGGGATGATATTTAAGTTTTTCCTTGTGCACTGGAAGCTCAGCAAAAACTTCCTTTCTCCAGCTGCTATTTGATACAAAAGGAAAATTCCAGTTAGCATTAGTGAAAACTTTAAGATTAATTTTTGGCAGGACTATTGCATGGAAGGAAAGGAATAATTTTTATCGGACTCCTAATGCGAATTAGTCTCCCTTTGCTGCAGTTGTTACTTATAGCAAGAAAAAGTTATACAGATTACCTGTTAATAATCCATTCTGAGAGTGAATAATTTTCTTGCATGTAGGACTACCAGATCTAAAATATAAAAATCTGAACAGCCATTGGATAAGAGCAAAGAATTAGAATTTATTGCCATCTAAGGATACTTCAGAGATATTTTCAGTTAAGTCCTAATAGCCCTATTATTACATTTTTGCTAAAAGCGACAACTATATGGATAAATCTGTGGTGTGAAAACAGAAACACTGTGCAGCATGTGTGCATATAAAAAAAATATTGCAAAGCTACAAAAGGTGCATAAAATGATAACAGTTCCCCTCTGTGGAGAGATTACAATACTGGTTTTTCAGTTTAGAAAAATGACAAGTTAGAGGAAAATGATAAGAGGTTTATGGAATTATGCATAGTTCTTTCCCTCTTTCATAGTATTAAAACTCAGAGCCATGCAGTGAAGTTAAATGTGGGAAGTTCAGGACAGATAACAGCATTTCAGCACACAACTCATAGTGTATAACTTTGAGGGATTAGATAAATACACAGAGAATCATAAGCATCTGCAGCAGGTTTGGGATGCAAACTTTACACTTTACATGCGACAGTAAAGAAAGTACAAAAAGACAAAGTTTGCATTGTGATGTCACGATTTTAATCATTTAAGAACAGCCATCTATGTGGAAAATGGTTATTAATTATGGCAATTATCACATGTTTCTGACTAATTCTGGCTCTGGAGCCCAAAGGAAGTTACGCTGTTGCCTTCATGTTCTGTTTGCAAATTTCCCATAGGCATTTGCTTGACCAGTAGGTGAATACCTAATGGGCTGCGGTCTGATTGATCCAATAAAGCTGGACTGAAAAATTATATCATTAATGTTTTAGGCTGAAAGATTCTGACAATGAGATTGTTATGGAGAAAGCGATCATTATTTAAAATTTGCAACTTCAGTTCACATTAGTTTTATAAAACAATTCTTGATTTGCCCTTCAGAAGGGAAGAATGCAAAGTTTTATTTTAGTCCACTACCTCTAAACATATAGCAGGAACATTATGGATTATCTTTGATAGCTTAATAGCAATGTAGAGAGCTCAGATTCTACAGGACCACAGTGCATACCTTGTTGTTCTCAATGCCACGGATATGTCCCCAGAATTCATTTAAAAATTTTCCCCAAATTTTAATTGTGAGAATTATGGTGAATAATCAGATTAATTTTATTCATTTTAATTACAGTTTTTCTCTTTCCCC